GAACTAGTTCCCAGGTGTGATTAGCTAAGAGTGCATTAAACTCTGATTGCATAGCAGCTGTCCAAGAGGGGTGAGAAAGAGCTTCTGAAACAGTGCTTGGTTCTTTGGTATCAAGATGGGATGTAGAGAGAAGTGCAGTATTGTGAGCTTTGGCTTTGGATCGAGTTATCATTGGATGAGTGTTTTGGATAGGAATGTTGGATTTAGGAAAAGACAAATCAACAATTAATGGTATAGTGTCAAAAGATGCATCAGAAGCAATGGTTATGGGAGAAGTAATAGACATAGGAGATTCATGTACTGGAGTTAAATCATGCATGTTGAATACCTGATTAGGTGTAGGAGGACAAGCGGAAGAGGCTGATGACTTTTCGGCCAATGAAGTATAGATAGGTTGTTCAGACACTGGTTCTAAAGTATGACTTGGTTGAGAATGACTTATAGAGTTATTAGAAGATGTAGGAGATACATAAGAGGATAGGTTATATGAGGAATAAGTTGGCACAGAGTTAGGAACATGCCAGGTGGAAGTAGAAATAGGAATAGATGTAGGCTCTGAATGAATAGATGCAGGCTCTGTAAAAGGAGGTTGTAGAACTGGAAAATTTGTGAGCTTGGAAAGGGAAGTCCATCTCATCAAATTTGACACTTTGACATATATAAATTCGACCATTAGGTGCAAGACATTTGTATCCTTTGTGTTGCAAACTGTAACCAATAAAAGTACATTTGGTAGTATGAAAATCAAATTTATGGGGGTTATAAGGTCTAAGAAATGGGTAAATGGCACAACCAAAAACCTTTATGATAGAATAGTTTGGTGGATAGTTGAATTTTTTTTGGAAATGAGAGAGGTTAGAGAGCACAGGAGAAGGAAGTCTGTTTGTTAAATACACTGCAGTTTGGAAGGCATGCCACCAGAATTTAAAAGGCATGTGAGCTTGAGCTAACAAGGTTAGACCTTCCTCAACAATTTGTCTATGTTTCCTCTCCACTCTACAATTTTGTTGGTGAGTGTGTGAACATGGATGCCTAAAGGAAATTCCATGCTAAGCAAAGTAGGGAACTAGACTTCTAAATTCTCCTCCCTAATCGGTTTGAACATATTTCAAAGTTGAACTAAACTGCCTTTCTACTAGTTTGTGAAACTGGGCGAAAATAGAGTAAGTTTCAGACTTATTTTTCAAGGGAAAAATCTAAGTAAACTGGCTGTGATCATCCAAGAACTGGATGTAATATCTAAAGCTCTCGGGTGAAGAGACAGGTGATGGTCCCCAGAGATCAGAGTAAACGAGATCAAGAGGTTTAGCTAAATGAGAAGAGGACCTAGGATATTTTGCCTGTGCAATTTACCAAACTGACATGATTGACAGAAGGTGTAATCAGCTTTGGATGAGTGAGGTATGTTAGGATTTTGGTTAAAACAGAACGATTTGGATGTCCTAATCTTTTATGCCACAGCATAACATCAGTTCTTTAAGTAGGAAATGATTGAATACCATGTCTTTTATTTATATCAGATGCAACACAAAAGGAAGATACATTTTCACAGTTATTGTCTGTAACAGAAGACTTATTACAATGTAAAAATGGTTGGCTAGCAGACAAGGCACAACCTTATAGACACTTAGAGATACTAGTAGATGATAAAGGTAAAATACAAGTGCTGACATTGGGATATTTAGGCATAGTGCTAAAAGATGAGGCTGGATTATTGTCATAAGGCTGAAGATTAACTAAAGTTGCCAAGGCTCCAGTAGAAAGGAAAGAAGCAGAGATTGGAATCTGAAGTCGATATAGGCCATCCTTAAGCATTCCTTGAAGAAGAATTGCTTTGGAAGACTTGTCCTTAACCACATAGTAACCAGTGTAAAATTCAACAAACACTTCATTATCTCTAGTAAATTTAGATATGCTGAGTAAGTTCTTTGTAATTTTAGGAACATAAAGAACATTCCTAAGATGCAAAATTCTACCAGAACAAGACAAAATAGAGGAACCAATATGAGAGATTGATAGCAACTCACCATTACCCATTTGGAGCTGCTCACTTCCAGTGTAGCTTGTGCTTGCTGTTAATTATGAGAAATCAGAGGTTACATGGTCTGTTGCTCCAGAATCCATGTACCATGCGGCATCCTGAACAAATGAAGGTATAGCAACATAGTTGATTGCTGTAGGGGTGTGATTCTGATGTTGTGATTGAGATCGAGCCATGAATGCCTAATTATGTATGTTTGTGAGTGTAGAAGAAAGTTGATTTCCAAGTTGTATAGTTGGTGATCCAAAATGAGAAGTAATCTGTGGGGAGTAATCCTTTGAAGATTGTACTGTGGTCTTGAACTCATACCAGCTCCAGAGTAATGCATAGAAGGTCCAAAGTTAGGCCCTTATGATAATCCTAAATGTGAGTAGTAAAATGATCCTCCGTGAGTGAAGTCAGAAGGTCTTGCAAGCTCAGGAGGTCTTACAAAGTTAGGAGCAGACACATTACTAACATTAATCATGACCAATGCATTGTTACCAGTAAAATGGACATCAAATATGTGATAGCAATTCAGAGCTAAGTGTCTTGTCTTCCCACATACTTGGCAAACAAATTTGTTCCTACCACCCACTCGCCTCGACCTCTTCCTCCAGTAAAACTTCCAGGTTGATAAGAATAAAACTAATCAGGAGGAAGATGAGTTAGGTACACAGGGTAATTTTGACTTGTAGTATAGTAGGGTGGCATAAGATTATGTGGCTGTTGTAAAGGTGTTGGGGTTGTATGTGATGGAGACTGGGGTACATTAGTAAGAAATGGGCCATTTGCATCCGATTGTGACTTATTTCTGCTACTGTCAATACTCATATTTGCAACATTGGTAGAGACCCCATGAAATTCAGACTGTATAGCTAAATTCAGTATAGCATTAGCCTTTTCTAACCTGAGTTCCAGTTTTTGCAGAATTATTTGAGCTTCCTGAACTGAAATAAGATCTAGTCTAGACTTTAATCTAGTAGTAATGTTCACCACAACTACATCATAATTAGAGTCAAGTCCATCTAAGATGTAATTCAATAGTTCTTCATCGGAAATAATAACTCCACTTGAAGACAGACTTTAAGCAAGTCCTTTCATTTTAAGAAAGTAATCATGCATGCTTAGATCATTTTTCTTTGTATTTTGTAGTAAACTTTTAATATGTAGTGTCTTAGCTCGTGACTCAGTGAGAAATTCTTTATCTAGAGTGAGCCAAATCTCAGTTGAAAATTGACATTTAGAGATTACCGAAAAAATTGATTTTGAAATGGATGACAACAACCATCTGACTAGAAGCTTGTCTGTCTTCTTCCAAAGGTTGTATTCAGGATTAGGTTTTTTGATAACTTTCGAGCTTGACCCGTCTGGTTGAATTCGAACAAATGGCGTTAGGCAAGGAATCAATCCAATGAGATGATCCTCAAGCTCGTGAGCTTTGACAGCGAACATTATTTGCTATTTCCAAAATCTGTGATTATCTCTAGTGAGCTTGGGAGATATCACAGGAAGCGTGGTTGAGGATATTGTACTCGAGCAAGTGAGATTACTAAAGTTAGAATTATGTTTCTGTCTTGAATGAATTGAGTCTATATCGGATTTGTGAGATGGAGAAGAATTTGATGAAAAATCAGCCATTGTTGATGTTGGTCGATGGCTCTGATACCAAGTGACAATTAGGATTTGAGAGAGATAAGAGAAAGATCAGAAAAGAGAAAAATTACTGATATCTAACTATATTATTATTGAAGTTAGTTACAAGTCCTATTTATATAGCAAGAGCACAATACACGTGAGTCTAAGCTTCTTATTAGCAAGGCTAAGGTCACTTGCTAGTCACTAGAAACATAGTAGTCAATCTAGGAAACTAATCCTAACATCCTCCCTTAAGCCAAACTTCCATAAACTTGTGACTTAACAACATATGAGAAATTAATCCTAACAGTAGCTAAAAGTATGAATTTGTGTAGCCAAGTGGTTTAGCTACAAATGCAATGTTTTATAGCTTATCGTAGCTAAAAGTGCGTAGCTAAAAGTTAGCCAGGTAACTTTTTGCTTACATTGCTAACAGTTTATATTTTTTGTTATAAATGAGATTAATATATAACTAAAAACTTAATTGTTTTTGCCATAACAATAATAAGTTTGTAGCAAAAGTTTTGCCTTTATAGCTATGGCGAATAGATTGTATACCTATATTTGCATTTTAGCTACATAAATATAAATTTATAACTAAAACTTGAAAATTCTTGCTACAAAAATAATATTCATTGCAAATATATTGACATTTTAGCTACGTGACCACTAAATTCGTAACTAAACAAAAAAATTATTTGCCACATATATAGTAAATTGGTAGCTAAATAATAAATTATTTGCTACAAACATATATAAGTCATATCTATATATGAAAAGATAATAGTATGAACATAATATGTTAATAACTAAATATTGAAATTACTTGCAATAAATATTTTTAATTTGTAATTAAATTTATATCAAAAATTTATAATTTATTGCTTCAATTAAAATTAATTGTAACAAATATTGCTATAATTAACAAATTTAATAATAATTACAAATTTATAGCAATATATTTATATTAATAGATAATATGACGTCTTAAGAAAAATTCTAATATAAAAAATAAAACATTAATAAAGTCATTTTCAACCAAATAATTGTCTACTCATAAAATCCTTCATCCTAATAATTTAAAATGTTATCAACTAATTTTTTTTTTAAAATATGAATCTTCAATGTCATAGCAATCTTTCCTAACCATTTAAGAATTTCCACCAACTTGCAATATCAAATTTGAAAAAAAAAAAAAAAAAGATTAATCATATAGACTAATGTAATCATTGCATATCACTTTATTATTAATGTAAAAAAAAAAAAAATGGTTTTCATAGTATATCTGAAATTTTCAAAATAACTTACAATTTCATCAAAAGAGATTTGGTTATTTGTTGAAGATTGTTGACCTTGAGTTGTAAGCATCATGATGAACTTCTCTTCCCATCGTCTATTCATCTCCTCCATTTGCCTTTTTAATTCATCTAATTTCTCATTCGCTTCCCTCTTTGCCTCTTCCACCCTTTCATTTGCTTCCTTCCTAGTTATTTGTACTTGTTTCATACCAGCAAAACCAGCAAAGATACATATCATCATGAACTAGCCCAATGTTCCTTCATCGTATTGGCAAAACCAGACCTTCCACTTTGGTTTTCAAGATACATATGTTTCCTCCAATTATTGTCGAACACAGAAAGTGGAGAAAACTGTGAAGTTGCTGCTGGTCCAGATGACACGCGTTTCAAACACACTTCGTCATATCCAAAAGCTATTCCTTCTTGATTACTTCAAGCCTCATTGATACTGCTTGGTTCAGCTGCATGTCACAAGAAGTAAATTCATGCTTCTTAGTTCCACAATACCCCATAAAGCTTCGTGTGCATTTCCAAACTTAATCTTTCCACTATTCCAATTAAATTTTCAATACTCATTAAATAGTCACATTGCTCACAGTTAGGAAAAAGAAACTAATGCCTTGTCTTTACAATTTCCTAAAATCCAAACCTACAGTGAGATACTACATTACTTCAAGCCTAGTTTAGTTTCTTCATATAAAGCATGGATCCTTTGAAGTGTAGTAAGACATCAAATTATTACTCACATATGCTTTAAGAAACCATTCAGTAGTTCTTCATCTACTTTCATTCTAATCTCATATTGAATGATAAATACTTGCTTATGGATTCAAACAATCTTGGTTAGATGTAAAAGGTTACAAGAACAAATCAATTAACTTTTTTCTGTCTCACCGAGATCCTCTTTGGAGCAGATAAAAAGTGGTAAGTGTTATGAAGATCCCTAAACCTCCTCCTAAATCTGAATTATACTTTTCTGATAAATTACAAATAATAATTGATGTAAATGGAAGATTAAGGAAGGAAAAAATCTTATCAAACATGACACACATATGCCTCAATTCAAAAGCACTCAGATTTACCCAACCTCCACTAGTAGTCTTATACTTCCAGTAAAAACTACTTAAATCAGAAAACGAAAGAAAAGCACTAGTAAAATGTAACGAAATTAGGGGAAAAGAATGATAGTTTACTTTGTAAAGTTTGGTAAGAACATTGTCAAGAGACTCCTGAGAATCATAAAGGTAGAGATGACGAAAAGATTTGATCACCTCAATTGCCTCATCTAATCGAACTGTTTCATCACAACTGCCATGTCTTTCAGAGCACTATCAACTTGGTCCCCAGCATTTATAGCAACCCAGAACATTGAAATTGCCCTGCTTGGATCTTTGTCTACCAACTACATTTAAAGAATTGCAAATAAGAAAGAGAATAAAAGAACAACATATACACAAGCAGTCTTTCGCTGAAAAACTCTAAAGCAATTATCTTACAAAATTATACAGCGGATACTCTTGAACATTTAGTCTATCAGTAATGATTTCACCTAAAATTTCTACCAAAAAACACATAGCTCCTTTTATTTGGAAAATATTCAGCTTAGTAAATCATGCAACATATTTCATCCATTCTAAAAACCTGTTCTCTATACAAGAAAAATTGCACAAGACATAAAACTTCACCATTCATTTATTTTTATTTTCTCTTAATTTTCCCTTAAACCAAAGAAAGAGTTAATTATTATGGGCAACCCTCCTATACAAAACCCACTTCTACAAAAAATTCAAAGATTTTTCTATAATCAATAGGATATAGTGTTCTTGAAAAATAGTAATCACACAAAATTCTATATTCTTTTAATATAATTCAAGAACCAAATTGTTCATCACAAAATTACTCAAATCACTGAGAGCATGAATTATAACCAAAGAATCAGAAACTGCTTGAAAACACAATAATCATAGAAATATAAAATAACTCTCTCTAATTTGTTCTAGCACTAAGAAATTCAATACTCCTTCAGTCAATATATCATTCAATCAGTTCTAAAGCCCCCTACTTTTCTATCCAAAACTATATATTTCCACAGCCAAAAAAAAAAAAAAAAAAAAAAAAAAAAAAGAGTACATTATTAACTTTGACTTGTTAAAAGTTATCGAAATCCGATAATCTGCTGGTTCAATTATCGAAGGAATTTCATTCTCTTTAGTTCGTTCTAACGCTAAAAAGATAAATAAGCACCCAAAAAATGTATTAAAGATTCAAACTAATAACTTCTAAATCATAACCATCAAAACTCTTCTCTCAGAGGCATTTCATCAAACACATAATAAGTTCTCTGCAAACTTCCAAAAATTAACACAACTTATCACCTAACTTCCAATTTCCAAATATCTAGCAAAGTCAACATAAACCCACGAAGAATTCGTAACTAAGAAACAACTAAAGAGAGAGAGAAAAAAAGAAATTTTTAGATTTGGAAAGAAATGCATACCTATACAATCGACGAAATTGGTTCTATCTGAGTTTCTTGTCTTTAAATGGAAATGGGTGAGAATTTGAATATGAAACTAAGGTGCGGAAGCAGCTACTTGTGTAGGCTTTAACGAAAAATGGCCGTGAGGTTTATGACGACAAAGAGAAATTTAATTCGATTTTAAGTGCTGCATTTGTAATTTGAATTACAAATTTGGGTGTCAAGAAGCTCGATGGAATAAAACCTCATTTATGGTAATTTGGATCAAAGGATTAAAACCTAATTGAAAGGAAATAGAAAAAGGGACCTTTGAAGACTGAATCTTGCCTGGGAATTCTTCAAAAGGTTTTAGTTGTTGCTCCTTGTTTTTTATTAAACACTTCAAAAAAAAAAAAAAAAATATTACCGAATGAAAAAGGCGCAATATGAAAATTAAAGGTTTTTATCCTATTTGAAGTATAAATATAATTTTTAATTGAAACAGCAACAATAGACTTAACCTAATTAAATAATAATAAGGTTCACCATAACAAACGTTAAACAAATTATCTTATTAAATTAATCTTATAATTAGTAATATATATAAATTATTTATTAAATTATTCACATTTAAAAGATAAATTACATAAATTATGATAAAGAAAATTAAATTCTACATATTTAAGATAAATAATTTGAATTATAAATGATGAATAAGATGAATAATCTTTACATAGTGGAGTTGTTACACAAGCTAACCATAGTCTCATGTGATTCACTAAGTTAAATTTTTATAAGCAAACTTATATTCTTATTATAAACAATACGAAAAGATATTGTGAATTAAATCACGAGTAGTTTGAATCAATTGCAATTAATACCTTGAGAATAATTTATTAAACAATTTATTAAATCATAAGGAGAGCTACTTAAATCCTACCATTGCTATGCTCTGTAATGAATTCTTTATTTCTTGTTCATAGAATGAGCTTGCAAATTGATTTCCAACTTATTGATTACTTACGTGGAACGTATAGCAAATGAGTACATGAAGTAAGCTGAGCATCAGACACTCAAATGGATTGCCAAACGGATAGAAATATTTTGATTTCATTATTTCATATATCTACTTTTTTTTTTTTAATTAATGTGTGATTATAATAAGTTATTAATTAGTTGAAGAAACATTTGTACATGTTCTTAGGAAAATTGAAGCGTTATATTCGTAAGAAAAGTCTATTAGAAGATTCTACTGCAGAAGGGTACATTGTGGAAGAGAGTCTAATATTTTGCTCGGCATATTTAAATTGTATTGAAACCAAGCTTAATAAGTTGGGAATTTTTTTTTTAAATTAGCTATTGGTTGACGGTTATAATTTATTATTGACCTTAACTGTGTGATTAACACTATATTTGACTATAACTATTTAATTTACAAGTAATAAAAATATAATTACTCATGGGATATAGAATATCTATAATTGCATACTATAAGGATTGTAGCAAATTAATTTTCACATTCTTTATTTTACTACAAATTCAAATAATTTATAGCTAATACACACATATTAGCTATATATTTAAACTAGTAGGTAGTAATGATACTATAATATTGTTACTACCACCAAAATAAAATTTGTATAGCTAATTACCTTAATTAGCTATAAATTTCAATATTTTATAGTTAATTCACAAATAATAGCTATATAGTTAGACTCGTAGCTAATAATAATACTATATGCCATGTAAATTAAATGTTTATAGCTAAATACATTAATTAGCTACAACATTGTACCATAGCTAATACATTGTAGCTAAATGACTAGTTATTGCCACGATTTTAATAAGTTAAAGCAAGAGATGAATATTAGCTTCGAGGGAGGAAATCTTATCACTAAAATAATTTCAATTCGCTATAAATATTGACTTTTGTAGTTGTAAATATGTATTGGTTACAGTTTTCCTTTTTGTAGCTAATTTTCGTAGCTATATGTCTATAATGTTATAGTGTGTACTGACTACAAAGCTTTCTAAAAAAATTATTATAAAGGTGTGTTTGGTTCAGGGAATGTTATATTAATGAAAAGATAGATTACCATAAAGATTACTGAGAATGTTTAGGGAAATGTGTTTGGTTGGTTGGAATAAATTGGTGGGCATATTAAATAATTTACTAAATTACTCTCCTTTTTAAATATTAATATAATATTATTTTTTGAATAATTATTTAAATCCCCAATGTTTGAGATATTGCTAAAACATCCCAGCCACATACAAGCTTAATTTCTAACCATATCACCCCCACCCATCCCAAGTCACTATCGGTTGCCTGCCATCGCCGGCAACAGTGGCAACAGTGGTCGTAATGGTGCACGACCAGACAGATTTGGTCGGCTGTGTGCTGATCTAGTCATTTCTGGCTAGATCCATGGATTTAGCCGAAAATGGTCAGATCTACGGCCAGAACTGGCCATTGTTAACGGCCAATATTATGGCCATTGGCTATTAACAAAGGATCTAGTTCACTAAGTGTGAAACGGTTAATTATTCGACTGTATCAACATATTTAGTTGAGTATTTCTACTAATGATTGTAATCAAAATATTTTTTTTGGATACAACAATAAGTTGTATTCACAAATATAGAGAAAAAGTCAAAAATTATAGGTGGTTCCTTAGTCCAGTAGTATTCATTTTTTTTTTTTCATTAAAAAACTTTTTAACTAAAAAAACGCTTCTTATATAGCAAAAAATCCAACAAATAAATTCCAATATCAAATATTTAGAGTCATAATTTGAAAAAAATTCTTATAGTATTTAGTATCGCACAAAATTTAGGGAATGTGATTAAAAATTAAAAAGAAAAGAAAAGAAATATCCCATCTAGAAGGATTCCCATTTCAGTTGATTTTATTCAATTCAACGATTGACCCAAAAAAAAAAAAAAAAAAAATAATAAATAAGAAATTGCATGGCCTTACCTCAATCAAATACCAGAAGTTGTACATTTGGCTGGAAACGGCCAGAATAGAGCTGGCCATTTTCGGCCAGATCTACGACAATCTGGTTGTTTATGGCCAGAGATCTGGCAAAAAACTACATATTGGTGCACGATCGGCCATATCCAGTCGGTCATGCGCTGTTCCGACACCGTCGACCGGCAGTGGTGGTAAGATCCGACCACCACCCTTGAGTAATTTTTTTAAAGCTCAGAGGTATTTATGTCCTAAAAATGTTATATATAAGGATAAAATAGTCCATTAATATTTTTGTAAATTGTTTTTAAAACAAGGGCATTATTGTCCTAAAATTTTATTAATAAGCGGTAAAATTGTAACAAAATAAAGATTACTAAGTAATCTTAAAATACCTAAGAAAATGGAGGTAATCAGATTACCTCCTATATTACATTACCAATTGTAATTACAATTGGTTTTAAAAAATTACCAAAATCTTATATTACTTGTCAACCAAACGTGGTAATTTAATAATATAAGATAATATTACCTTAGTAATGGGGGATTACCCCCAACCAAACACACCTTAAAAGATAAGTTTCTTATGCATGTCATTGATTAATTACTAGATAACATTATTTGGAGCAAAATATTTTTCTAAGTTGGATCTTTGTTCAAGTTATTACTAAATTAAAGTATGTGCTTCGGATGTCCACAAGACAACATTTAAGACCTATGAGGGGCACTACGAATTTCTTGTTATGCTTTTTGGCTTGACTAATGCTCTTTCCAGATTTATAGAGTCTAATAAATGAATTGTTTAGGCCATTTTTGAGGAAATTTGTTTTGGTATCTTTTGATATTATCTTAGTCTATAATTGTGATTGGAATGAACACTAACTGTTCCAAAATCAATTGTTTGTTAAAATATCAAAATGTGTTTTTGACAAGACAAAGAGAAAGTGTTTAGGGCATATGATTTCAGGAGTAGCCGCAGATGTTGAAAAAATTGAAAGCATATTGCAATGGCCAATATCGAATGTTCTCTCAAGTCTATTAAGGGATTTTTAGGGCTGACCGGGTATTATCGAATGTTCACAAAAGAAAGAGGTGAGTGGTTGTCTAACCTTTCCATAGACAACCACTCACCTCTTTATTAAAGAAATAACTTTTAAGTAGACCAAATCCGCTGAAGAAGCTTTTATGTAACTCAAAAGTATCATGTGCACTGCACGTGTTGCTGATACCGTACTTCGAGAAAAACTTTGTGATTGAGTGTGATGCATTCGGAACTGGGATAAGAGCTATATTGTTACAAAAGTAGGCCCATAGCCTACATAACCAAGACTTAAGCTCCAAAAAATATAGGACTTTTAACATATGAGAGAGATGTTGGATGAAGTAATGGCAATACAGAAGTGGAGGTCGTATATGATAGGAAGGTCTTTCAAGATAGTCACTAATCATCTCAACCTAAAATACTTGTTAGAGTAGGGAATTTCAACCCCAATGCAACAAAAATGGCTCAATAAATTGGTGGGTTATGACGATGAAATGGTTTATCGAAGTGGCAAAGAGAATGAGGCGACACATGCTTTGTCAATGGTGCATGAGGATGAAGCAAAATCAGTTATTATGGCTCTAACATTTCGAGTTGTAGATTGGTGGTGTCCTCTCCATTGAGTGGACCTATAACCTGTTTAACTCTTAAATATAATAGGACTTAATCGATGTAGTGTGGATAGGGATAAAAACACCTTAACTTGGTTGATTCTAAGAAACCTGAAATTAAAGAAATATAAGCAAGATTTTCGTTGATCCAACGAATATTATGGTATTAGGATTTTCTTTGATTCAACAAATACTGAAAATCTGCTAATGATTAAGTCTCCCTTATTCTAAAGAATACCAAGAATTAACAATAAAGAAATCAACCATGAGTTTAAACCAAATATTTTAGTCAACCAATGACAATGCTTAAAGGCTACAAAAACACCTCAATACTATCCATACCTAAAACAAAAAATATAATTTAATAAGGAATCTTAAAATAAAATTGGAAAACCTAATTATAAGGAAATAATATTAATCCACTTTCCTAATAAAATCTAGTAGTATATAGCCTGCACCATTCTCCTAGAGATGGAGGAAATTCGCCATCAAATTTTTGTCACGAATAACTCCATCTTCAACTTGCTTTAATCAAATTCTTGTAACTTCATCTCCAAGTCATATGCTCAAAGGAATTTAAGTTTCCCAATCTTTGAGACAACATCCATCCAGTTGATCCAGCTATTTAAAACAAAGGCACGAAGCAAAAACGCTTTCAACTTCATCTTGTTATAACAATCATGCACGTCTTCATGAAAAATAACGAGTATAATTT